AAACTATTAAAAAAAACTAATACCATATACAGCATATTATGCATACATAACAGATGCTTGAAAGTTGATGTCCTCACCAAAGGAAAATAAGATATGCACAACAAGCAACATGATTTATCATGGTTTGATGTAAGACGAAACAAGAATTGGAAATAAATATAATGTATATCATTCATTCTCCCCTTTCTTACAGTACCACTTAGTTTAAGGATCGGATTTTAAATATCATTTCCAACAAAAACCATATAATAAATTATTAGGGAATTAACCAAGCTAACTAAACTGAATAACCAGATGACAAATCTTGCCTTCTGAAGGATGCTCAAATCCGGAATCGACAATAGCCCTTAGAAGCTCTGGTTTCAAGAGGAAGTCTCTGAATCCGGAACTGTGAATTCCCACGTAACCCCTGCAATGGTAAACAGGAAGGAATGCGTCAAGTAATCAGATTTCATGAAAAGAGAATGACTTGTTGAGCCTGTGCAATACTGAACAAATGAATTGTTAAAACAATCAGCAGTGTTAATCTCATATAACTAAAACCTATACCTAATCCAACAGAACCAGATACAACTCAATAATAACAAAAAATAAGTTCAACCCCTTGGCTTCACTGCAAACTTGTTACCACTCTGCAGCCTAACGAGACCTTCACAATAACCTCTCTAAACTTACTATTTTTTCGGGAAAATTGGTCATATAATTTTCCAGAAATGATTAAATGAAGTTAAGAAAAGAAAATCCTTCTAGAGTATTGAACAATTAAACAATATTTAATCTTCAACTTTCTAATGCAATCCTTAATGTATACAGCTATAATTTATGAGCGAAAGCACTGGGGAAGCACACGTACAACAGAGATAAATAAAATCTTATAAAACGAGCCTAAATCATAAATTTGCTCGCTAATATTTGCACAAAAAATAAATTATCAAAGGCAGGCAAACAACTAAAGCTAATATAAAGAACGATTTAGATTAAAAACTTGCAAACACGTAGACTATACACAGAAAAGTGAGAATTCACGAATATACCAATTCAGGTATAGAAAAAATGCAATAGGAAACGAACATGGACGTATATATACACACTTAAACATATGTATATATGGATGAAGATTCTGAGATTTATGAGAAGCTCACTTCTTGGCTGATTCTCCATTCACTTTGGTCACGGAGTCGGGAGCTTTTTCATCTTCTTCCTCGTAGTCGAGAAGCTCCTCCTCGTATGCGTCGTTCTCCTTCATCTCTCCCATTTTTCTGCTGCTTTCACTACATACGCACACAAACACAACAAATCAATACATAAAAATTCAATATTGGGAATTTCTAGCTCAGCTTATTAACACATATGTATGGGTGCGAAGCTACGGTTTTTCAGTTTTTTGGTGATTTACCTGCTAAACCTGATAGAAAGATTTAAGGGTTTTCAACGGTTTTGTGGCTTCAGTAGTCTGCAAAGAAAATGTTAGGTACAATTTGGGAGAGAGCGAAGACGAATTAGGGTTTTTGAGGGATGATGGTAAAGTCGGAGCGGGTAGGGGATTCAGTACAGTATGGGCCGAGAAAAGATGGGCTGCAGAGTAGATCTGAAACCCAATCTCGAGTCCTTATTTTTGAAGAGGAAATTACGTTTATTAAGTTTTCTAATTTAAAAATCAGGTGTAAGATTCATTTAAGCAAAAGTCAAGTATTGATTAAATTATTAATAATATTATAAAATTTACCCACTCACCCCACTACAAAACCGAATTATTTCTCCATCCCCGTCCCACTCTTCTTTCTCTACACTCTCCGATCACGAAAACCACCCTCATTGATCATTCGATCCAATTGGCAACACCTACAACCTGTAACACCCAACAACCAACGGCATATACAAGTCCTCGGCACCATAACTGCCACATCAATGGTCGTTGCCTACAATCAATACAACCAGTCCCACTCATAACCCCCACAATTTAGTTCATAATTTTCCCAATTTTGCACCCCATTGGCAACAACCTCAAACCCCCTCTTTTTAGTCTGCCTTCATTGCCTCTGTAATTTATAGCGAACTCGTACAAATAGGCCCTTCACAAACAGAGCTCACTTCTCCATCTCAAAACGCGACAGCGCTCATAGGCGGCGATGTAAACTTCAAAGCTCTGAAATATCTAGTCCGACTTCAGATCTGGCAATCGTGGTTGGAGGTGCGGTTGCGTGATGTTGTGGTGTAGTATCGTTGGTGGTTGTGGTTTGGTGAAGGAGGTTATGATGTTGGATTTGGCGGCGGCGGTGGCGATGCTTCTGCTTCTGGAGTGGTAGTCCACTAGATGGTCTTGTTGGTGTTTTTGCTAATAGAGTTGTGATGCATAGTGGTTTGTTGGTGGTGGTTGTGGTGTTTAGAGTTTTTTTGTTGGAGGGTGGTGTGTGACCAACTATTAGACTGTGTTGGTGGTGGTCTTTGCAATTGACCGTGGTGGTGATGGTTGTAGTGTTGGTGGTGGTTGATTAGTGACCTAAAAACTCAATAATTTGTGATTGAAAAATAATTCTTGATCAACTAATTTAAAAATCTATGACCGACAAATAAGTTGTGACTTGTGTTTTTTTTTATTTGTTAACAAATAAATAAACCGTGACCTATCAAATTTTTTTATTGTGACCATGAAATAATCTGTAATCAATTAATTTGATAATATATCACATTGTGACCTATAAATACGCACCTGTGACCATTAATTTTATAATTGTGTCTTTAATCTATTTAATTAATAAAATATTTTTAATTAATTAGTTAATACCTAAGTTTTACGTTTTTGAACTTAAACCCTGAAAATTAAATTGCCCATACATAATGCTTGAGTTTTGAATTATCCCATTTACGAAATTTTGATGAAATGTCTAATTTGTTCACTAAAAAATAAAAAATTATTAGTTGCTCACTTATATAACATTACCCATCAAACATTAATCTCAATTTCATTTTTATACAACTCAATTTGTTTATATGATTTTCATAATTTTTTGATTGATTTTTTTGCAGGTTACTTTTGTTTACTATATTATTCTCATTATTTCTTCTACAAAATTTGTTTTAGATTTTATTGTCTTGACTATTTATATTATTCTTTGTTAATTTTATTCTATGAAATTCGCAAATTAATTTTGTTTGCTCTATTTTCTTCAATTTTTTCCTTCTAAAAATTCCATCAGCACTATTTTTCTGAAATTGTTTTCAGTTTTTTACTATCTAGGTTGTTTATATAAATTTATTTTCCTCGTATTGAATATATTCTATTTTTTTTATTTATCTTCTTTAGTTGTTTCTTCTAGAAATTGTGTGATTTTTTTATGAATTGTTTCACATTAATGTTTGTTGTGTCGGGTTGCCTCACTATTTTAATTCTTGGTTTGTGGTCCAAACCATGTTCCAGGTTACCTGTCTGTCTCTCTAAGTGATGGTTTTATCATGGCCTTACATGTGGCCTTTTATTAGCCATTGGATTGGCGACTTTTGGTTAGACAT